CTTCATTCTGGTATTCTCTGCTTTCAGCGAAGATCCAGCTGACATCAGCAATGATATTCCTCATTCCATGTCCTTTTCTGAATCTGACTTAAATTTCTGGCAGTTCCCTATTGATATATTGTTACAACCATTTTTTAATTATCTTCAGCAAAATTTCACTTGTATGTGATATTAATGATGTTGTTCAATAATTTCCACATTCTGTTGGATCATCTTTCTTTGGAATGGGCACAAATATGGATCTCTTCTAGTGAGTTGGCACAAATGAATAAGCACCTCCAGTGCTGCATCTGTTTGTTGAAACATCTCAGTGGAGCCTTGTTTTTCATCAATGCCTTCAGTGCAGCTAGGATTTCTTCCTTTAGTACCATTGGTTCTTAATCATATGCTACCTCCTGAAATGGCTAAATGCCAACCAGTTCTTTTCGTATAATGACTCTGTATATTTCTTCCATCTTTTTTTGATATTTCTTACATGATTCAACATTTTGTCCATTAAATCCTTCAGTATTGCATCTAGAGGCTTAAATTGTTTTCTTCAGTTCTTTGAGCTTGAGAAATACCAAGTGTGTTTTTCTCTTCTGGTTTTCGAACTCCAGGTTTTTGCACATTTCATTATGATACTTGCCTTCTCAAGCTGCCCTTTGAAATCTGTTCAGCTATTTTGCTTCATCATTCTTCAATTTGTTTTAGCTATTCTAAGTTCAAGAGCAAGTTTCGGAGTCTCTTGTGACATCCATTTTGGTCTTTCTTTCCTGTCTTTTTAATGATCTTTTGCTTTCTTCATATTTGATATTCTTGATATCATCCCACAGCTTGTCTGGTCTGCGGTCATTAGTGTTCAGTACATCAAATCTATTCTTGAGATAGTCTCTAAATTCAGGTGGGATATACTCAAGGTCATTCTTTGGCTTTCATGGACTTGTTTTCATTTTTTTTTTTTTTTAACTTGCATATTAGTATTGGTGGTCTGTTCCACAGTCAGCCCCCTGGCCTTGTTCTGGCTGATGATACCGAGCTTCTCCATAATCTCTTTCCACATATATAATCCATTTGATTCCTGTGTATTCCATCTGATGAGATCCACATGTATAGTCACTGTTTATGTTGTTGAAAAATATATATTTCTAATGAGTAAATCATTGGTTTTGCAAAATTCTATCATGTGATCTGTGTCATTTCTGTCACCAAAGCATATTTTCCAACTACTGATCCTTCTTCTTTGTTTCTGGCTTTCTCATTCCAATCACCAGTTATTATAAATGCATCTTGATTGCATGTTTGATGAATGGTCAAATAGCTTTATCAAATGGCAGAGATTAGAATAGTGAATAGGAATTTTTTAATTGACTAGGAGTTCAAACCCTCCAGCCACTCCTCGGAAGGAAGGTTGGGCAATCCTACTTCCGTAGTGATGCTGCCTCAGAAACCCAAGGAGGGGTTGCTATGAGTAGGGGCTGACTCGACGGCAAACAACAGCAACAACAACAGGAGTTTCCCCACTGATGTTTGAGGAACAGACTGAACAGGGGACTAAGGTCAGAAAATCAGCTTAAGTTGAGATTCACCACTAAAAAATAGGAAGATAGTTTTTATCCATTGGGAAGTTAGTTATAAAATTTAGGAACAATTTCTCTGGAAGGGAAAAACACCTTTGTTCTTTACCCACACCCATACCCTTATTGTTTAGCTTGACAAGCATCCGCATGATATAGGAGAATTATAAATTCATTTTATATCTCCCCTAGCCCAGCCTCCTTTTATTACACCACTTTACTACTTCTTTGGGGCTGAGACTAAAATTTGGGTCAAATGTTCCATTAAGTTAACCACTTTAGAATACCAATAACACTCCTGCAGCACTTTTCATCTTCATAGCGGTTTACTAACTTCTCCTTCTTCACTAATGAAGATGAGTTCAATATCTATAGAGTCTAAAACCAAAGCTATTTAATCATTGTCTGATGTGGGAAAGTGAGACAAACTGCAAGACTAACAAAAAAAGCATATTACATTTTAAACTTGCTGATTCAAACTTTTAAAAAATTCTTTGAACATGTAGGCAGACTTCATGCCATAAAATCCCAGCTTTTCTTATGGGAAAGGCTAAGATAAAAGTAATAGCAACATCTTAGGGATGTTTTGGGGCTTCAGTGGTACAGTCAACATGCTCTGCTGCTAACCTAAAGACTGGAGGTTCTGGTGTATCCATTGGTACCTCAGAAGAAAGGCCTGGTGATCTGCTTCTGAAAAATGAGCCATTGATAAACCCCCTATGAAACACAGTTCTACTCTGACACTCGTAGGGTTATCATGAGTCAGAATCTACTTTATGACAACTGGTGTAGAAATGTTTTTAGCCCTTCATATCTTAAAGTGTTTTTTAAATACCTTTTTTCATTTGATCCTCATGAAAATCCATGGGAAGCAATGAGTTATTATCACCATAGTTTAGACAAGGCTTATTAATTAACCTGCTCAAGTTTTGAGTTACTAAATATTTTCACCAGGACTAGAGCCCCAGCCTCCATGTTCCAAGTCAGAAGTTCTATCTACAAGGTAGTCCACCTGTGCTCTACAGTAACTAGAGGTCTCATTGAGGCCCCTGTGGGCAGGCTGAGAAAGGAAGGATGGGGGAATCAGGCTGAAGTGCAGGGTTTCCTTCCTCTTTCAACTAGAGCAACTCCACAGATATATTAAGTTTGGGGATTCTGCATGAATTTGCACAGTTCGATGACATTAGAATTTCATTCAGCAGAGCATACATCATCTGTAGCGTTCATGACCCAACTAGAATGTGAGCTGCATCCCACAGTTACCCTCTTCAGGCTTGCACAGCTTCGTGCATGGAAGGGGCAGTTTCATGCTATAATCTCTCCCCCATGCCTTTTATCTTCAACACACATTAGCTGTTCTGGGCCAGTAATGGCCTTTATATGGATCACCTGTCCCTTGATTCCCTTTTCTTCTATATGGCTCACACTTACCATGTTTCCTCTCTTAAGACTCAGTCGTTTCACCTTGGCAGGTCTCTTTGGTGCATCAGCACATGCACACACACGGCTGTGAGCCTCTTGCTGAGCGATAGGGACTGTTTTGTTCAGGTTGATGACATGCCTAATGCATGGTGTGTACCAAGGTTGTTGTAAATACAAACATCTGCTCTTTAGCTCTCTTACTCTTTATCCTCTTTCTTCGAACTCTTTTCCATTCCTTCCAGAAAGGCTTTTTTGTGTCTTCCTTTGTCTTCCTTTCTCACTCCTACTCTTCATTTTCTCTCTCCTTAGTCTTTCCATAAGCAGAAAACAATCAGAACATAAGGATAAAGCTAGTTATCTATCAAACCCAAAGCCATTAGTTCTGAAGGGAAACTAAGCAAGATAAATATCTAGCACCAAAACAAACAAACAAACTCACTGCCTTCAAGTTGGATCCAACTCATAGTGACCCTTCCTTGGGTTTCCAAGGTGGTATCTCTACGGAAGCAGATTGCCCAAATCTTCCTTCTGAGGAGTGGCTGGTGGGTTTGAACTGCCAGCCTTCTGGTTAGCAGTCAAATGCCTTAGGCACTGCACCACCAGCGTTCCTTCTAGCACCAAGTGTCTACATTTTTAAAAGTGCCTTTCAATCCAGAATCATCACAATCTTCAAATGTCTCATCTGTAATCACTTGTTTTTTTATAAGTACTCTTTTCTCCTTTACCTCCTTCAAACAGCAGCTCAAATGCCACTTCCTGCAAATCTCACTGATGTTCCCAGGCAGATTCCATCACCCCTGCTGAAGTCTCCCCACAGAACTGTAAATACAACTTTACTATAGCACTTAACACATGATGTTTGTTGCTATGGACCATTTATGTGTCTGTGTCCCCACTAACCCAGGAGTTGTTTTTTGTTTATTTCATCCTTCTATCTTTACCAGTTAACATACAACCTAGCGTGACACATTACAGATGCACAATTTTGTTGTTGAATGTTGATGATTTAATTAATTAAACGATCACCCTGGAGTCAAGGAAAAAGTAGCTCACTCTCACTCAGTTTTTATTCTGTTTCCTACTATTCTTCTCTGAAATTTTAAGTGCCTTTTTTAAATGTTTTATGGGTTTTATAGATTTTTGTTGGCAAACTTGAAGATTGAAACTCAACTTATGAATTGTTTCTAGGGGAAAATATGTTTTATGTTCCAAAATGTTCAAACATACACAAAATAATAAAATGAAATTTTTTCCCCTAACAACACAGATTATCTATCACCTTTCCCAATATTTCACACAAACTGAGAAGATGGAAAAAAAATCTCTTTAATTTTCTTTTAAATTCCTCTCTCACTTGCTGCCTCTCGTTCCTCTGATTTCTGCCTCTGGTCCCACCCCCATGTTTCACTGCAGTTAGACTCTACCTCAGTCTCTCCATTCTTCCTTGGTTTTCTGTTGTGTCCCTTGCAGCCTTCGTTAAATCCATTACTTATGTCAGTATTTTCCCCTGTTAAATTTGGTTCTCAGAGAGTAGTCACTTTGCAATTTTCATTGTTGCTTCCTCAACAACAATGAAAATTCCTTGTGTTTCAAAGCACAGCATGCAGTGTATGTGCTCAATTAATGATGAGTTAAATTCTGTGCATACGTAAAAAGTATAAAGATTTCAAAGTAGGGGGATGTTGGCATTTGAGAAGATACGGGGGTTATTTTTGTTCCAAGTAGGAGCAGTTCCTAGTTACTTATATATGCCAACTGAACTCAAAGCAGACAATGCCCAAATTTCAGGCCCAATAAAATTCAGCTGCAACAGTCTGTCTTCTCTCACTTTTCCATCTTCTAATTCTTTTCTCCAGAGATGAAGATAAATAACATAATCATGCCAGTAAGCATCCTTTTTCATCTTTATGGCTCTTGTTTTGGGTGCTTATTATGTTTCCATTATTCAACACTCTAAGCTGTCTTTCGAGCATGAAACGGTTGAGTCATCTAGTATTAAAAGTGCTTATTTTCTGCTTTTAGGTTACAGTGGTGGCTGTGTTGTGATGCAAGGAAGGAATCCACCTGGTCGCTGGGAAGTGAAGGACTGCAAACACTTTAAGGCAATGTCCTTGTGCAAGGAGTCAGTCAAAATGAGCGGAGAAAAGGAGCATGAAGAGAGATGGCCTTTTCACTCCTGCTCTTTGGACTGGGAGTCAAAGCCTGGTCTGGCCAGTTGTTTCAAGGTGATGCCAAGGTTGCATGAACATTCTCAGCAGGACCAACATTATTTAAATGTGATCTCTGTGTCCCAAATTCCTTTATTCTAGTACATAAAACAGTGGCTGGCAACAGCAGGTGTTTTATCAATATTTGACCAATCCCCCATAATATTAATGGCCTCCTCATGAGAATTGATATCGAGGGCAAATCACATGTTGCTGTTATTATCAAGCAGATACCAAATGAATGAGGTAGACACTCACTGGGTGTTAGAATGGTGTGATTCTGTGTTATTTGTAAACATACATAAAGTCCTTGTTATGAAACAATACCATTCTGCTGTTAAGGATAGCTTTTGGGTCTTGCCAGACACTTGAAGATCAAACTAATTAATATATACACTTTATACATACAAGGAGCCCTTGTGGCACAATAGTTGAATGCTCAACTGCTAATCAAAAGTTAACAGTTCAGACCCACTCAGCAACTCTATGAGAGAAAGATCTGATGATCTGGTCCCATAAAGATTACAGCCTAGACGGCCCTATAGGGCATGTCTACTCTGTCATATGAGGTCACTGTGAGTTGCAACTAACTTGATGGCACCCATCAACAATTATACACACGCATATACTCACACACACGTCTATCTCTATCATCTCTAAAGAAGTGTTCATTTGCAAATCAACTTCAGAATTCTAGATTTAAATCAATTTCTACAATCTTCTTGTCAGAAATACACTTTTTTAAAAAATATAATAGTTTTATGTTTGGTGGGGTTTTTTTAGTTCCTTTTACAAATAGAAATTCCCCCCCAAATCCTGGGAGAAGCTCCTGCCCTGTGTTGGGAAAGTCCTCTTCTCTTAGAAGAGTTCTGCAGGGTGGCATAGACACAATCTCTGTCTTAAGATGTTGCAGTCTCAGATGGCATGAAGTGCGTGGCAGGCGCTCATCTGAATGTGCATCCGTATAATCCTACACCAAGTTCATAGAATAATGAACCCAGAAGTGACCTCACAGAACAATAAGTTAAACCTTGGAAATGAGTAAACTGAGGCCAGTGAAAATGAGGTGAATTAGTGATTATCATGGTTACTTATTGACAGAGTTTAAAAACTCTGGAATAATTTGGAACTCCCAATCCAGTGCTTTTCCTACTATATCTCCCTCATATGTCAACAAATGCATGGTGTATTTGATGGGCATGGGTAGTTGGATTTATGAGTTTAGAGTGAGTTGGGAAGAGGTTCCCAGAGGAGATGAGTTTTGACATATAATTTAAAAGATGGAAAGGCAGTGCTGTGGTACACAAGACTCAGAAAACTATTCATTCTGGTCTCAGCATATCAGAGGCTGGGAAGTCTGGCCATAGAATATCTGCCTAGCATCAGAGGCTTAGGCTTAGTATGAAGTGATTAAAAATGAGGGTGTAGAGATTAGGGTTGGACGCTCTTGATCTTCAAGCCCTCACCCCTTTCTTAAATAAAACCAAAAGCAGACACTATATTCAACTGACTTTATGCTGCAGTGAGGATAGCTGAGAAAGAACAGGTAATTTAGGCACAGGTGAACGACTGCATCTGTCAGTCCAGCTGAGATCCTAGAAATACACCTGACCCTAGGTGCCAGATCTCATTTCTTGCCATGGGGACAGTCAAACTTGTAGTCATTCAGCCAACTCTAATTTTCCAGAAGGTGAGGCAGAAATGCATGGACTGTGGAAGCAAGAAATTCTGATTTTACTCCTAGTTCTGTCAGTTTGTAGTTGTGTGACTTGATGTGCTTTATATCTCTAAGCTTGAGTTTCCTCATCCCTTGACAAACATTTATTGAGAAACAAGTATATACCAGTCACAGTAGATTTATAAAAAATAAAGTCCTCAAGGAGATCACTCATTTATAAAACTGAGTTTATTTATTGTACCCTTCATGATTGTGTTGTAAGGATAAAATGGGATAATAGTTTTACAGTATCTAGGTACGTTCTAAGGAGCCTTGGTGGTACAGTGGTTAAGCACTTGGCTGCTAACCAAAAGATTGGTGATTTGAACTCATCAGCTGTTCCACAGAATAGATCTGATAATCTGCTTTTGTAAAGAAAGATTACAGCATTGGAAACCTTATGGACAGCTGTACTCTATCATACAGGGTTGCTATGAGTAAGAATCAACTCAAAGACACACAACAACATATATATTCTAGTTCAATAAATGTTATTTATTCCCTCTGGGTCAAGGTTTTCATGCACAATAACAACAACAATTATATTGCTGTTATTTTCCTGCCCAAAATTCAATGTTGTTAGGCACTGTTGAGTCGCCTTCAACTCATACCAACCCTGTGCACAACAGAACAGAACACTGCCCAGTCCTGTGCCAGCCCCACTATCCTTGCCATACCTGAGCCCATTGTTGCAGCCACTGTGTCAATCCATCTTGTTGAGGGCCTTCCCCTTTTTCACTGACCCTCCACTTTACCAAGCATGATATCCTTCTCCAGGGAATGGTTCCTTCTGACAACGTGACCAAAGTAGGTGAAACCAAGTCTGGCCATTCTGCTTCCAAGGAGCATTCCAGCTGCACTTCTTCCAGAACAGATTTGCTCACCTTATCCATGAATAGTGTTATTTTTTTTCTCTTACTCTCTAGGTATTTCATAGTGAAAAAGTCCTGATGAAAAGAACTTGGAGAGAAGCTGAAGCATTTTGTGAAGAATTTGGAGCTCACCTTGCAAGCTTTGCCCATATTGAAGAAGAGAATTTTGTGAATGATCTCTTACATTCAAAATTTAATTGGTAAATACTTGTTGTTGTTGCTGGTGTGTGCAGTCGAATTCAACTCAACTCAAAGTGTGCCATCCTTGGGTTTCCAAGGCAGTATCACTATGGAAGTAGATTGCCCCATCTTCCTTCGGAGGAGTGGCTGGTGGTTTTGAACCACCAGCCTTCTGGTTAGCAGTCAAGTGCCTTAGGCACTAAGCTACCAGAGCTCCTAAATACTTGTTAATATTGAAAAACTGCAGTCAAATTTTCAGTGTCCTGGTAATGCCTGTTTAAGGATGAACATCCCAAATACTTGTTTAAAACCCTAAGTATTTGTTTAAAGCCAAAAAGCAACTAGCCACTAGTTCTGAAAGAAAAAATATATACATGAAGTTGTATTGCACCAACTTCTCATTTCATAAAACAAAAGGCAATGTCACAATTATTTTGATATTTGAAATCTCAGTGTGCTTCAAATCATATTTTTACAACTTTTTTTGCCAGCCGCAGAAGTTACCTAGCCCAGTATTTTTCAAAGTGTTGTCTGAGGAGCCTGAAGTTTCCTGGAATCTCAAGAGCAGGAAGAGGTCCAGTAGGCAGAGCTCCAGCCAGCTTACCATCTAGTTATTTTGTATATAACAGGCTTCTATGGAAGATTTTGCATGACAAAAATAGTCCCAATGATTAAAATTTAAAGCTCCAATCCAAGCCCTGAATTCTACGTTTGAGGAAATATAGGTTAATTATCTGCTTCCATCTTACAAGTTTACAGAATCTTGAATTCCATGGAGTTAGAAAATCAAATCAGTTTAAGTTGGAAGAAAACTAGAAGGTTCCGTGACTTCCCACCCAGTGCAAGAATTCCTTTCACCACATTCCCATGGTCATCTACTGTTGCATAATTCTGTCCACTCTCAGAGCCCCCCTTACTTGGGAGAAAGCCCATTCCATTGTTGAAGGATCAACTTTCTATTAAGCTAGAAGTCTGCCTTCCTCAATTTGAAGCCAGAGCAATACAGATCTAGTCGACTCCATTTTCATTTAAAGACAGCCATTTATCATGTCTTCTTCTTTTTTTCAATGTAAATTCTTATTGTGATTTGGGCAAAATTTTAGAAATTTGGCTAAAATTGAGAAAATTTGATTTCCATTCAACAATTTATATACATTTTGTTTTGTGACATTGATTACAATCCCCACAATATAAGAGCACTCTTCCCACTTCTTCCCTGTTTTTCTTGTTTCCATTCATCCTTCTTTCCTATCCCTTCCTGCCTTCTGAGCTTTATTTCTGGGCAAATACAGCCCTTTTGACCTCATATTGTTGATTGTTCTAAGGAGTGCACACTTCCCTGGTGTTACTGTTCATCTTGCAGGCCTGTTTATTGTTTGGCTGAAAGTTGAGCTACTAGAAGTGAGTTCAGTTCCAGGCTTGAAAGGTGTGTAAGGGCCATAGTCTGGAGGTTTCACCAGTCTCTATCAGACAAGTAAGCCTGATCTGTTTTAGGATTTTGAGTTTTGTTCCAGATTTTTCTTCCACTCTATCAAGGACTTCCTATTGTGATCCCTTTCAGAGCCATCAGAAGTGGTAGCCAGGCACCATCTAGTTCTTCTGGTCTCATAATCCTAGAGGCTGGGGTTCACATGGCCCATTAGTCATTTGGACTAATTATTTCCTTGCATCTTTGATTGTCTTCACTCGTCTTCACTCCAGACAGGGTGAAACCAATAGTTGCACATCTCCATTTAGTGAGTCCCCCACCCCATAATCTCCTTCTCTAGAATATTCTTGTCAATCAGCACACATATTGGGTGTGTCTACTTTGGAAAGGGCACTGATATATGCACAACTGACTGGAGAATCCAGAAGACATAATGGGAAAAATTCTGCTCCTGAAGATGTTGTAGTCTAAGAAAGGCATGCCTCCATAACTCCATGCATTTGTTCAATGAAAGAAAATGTAGCACCAGGTATTCTACTGCAACTTGTGGGAATCTAGAGTCCTGATGAAGCACTTGCCTAAATTCTGGGACAAATCTAGAACCGTTTCTTAAGAAAGACCCAAGCCTTCCTCTTATATTTCTGTGTAGGATACCCTGTAAGAAGATTAATATGTAACATCTACCAGGTTATTGATATGCAGCATCTACAAAAGTGACCTTAAAGGTGGGAGTCTAAAAGTGGGAATCCGTGACAACGTCTTCCAATATGTGTCCCATTGAGTACTTGTAGGGAAACAAGGATTTATGATCAAATAAGTGTGCGAAACATTGCATGATCTTAGAAATTTGCCATGTACATTAGCATTATAAAGACTGTTAAAAAGAAACATTTTCTTTGACCATAAAATCTTTTTTTTGAGATCACTTATTATATTTGACTGCTGACCAGAAGGCTGGGGTTCAAACCCACCAGCCATTCCTCGGAAGGAAGATTGGGCAATCTACTTCTGTAATGATACTGCCTCGGAAACGCAAGGAGGGGTCGCTATGAGTTTGATCTGACTCGATGGCAGTGAGTTTGGTTTTTTTTTTTTGTTTTTTTTGGGGGGGTATTATCACCCTATAGGAATATGACCTGAGATCATGGTTCCCAGGCCTGGGTTATTATCATAATTGCTTGGGACACCCTTTAAGACAGGGACCTCTGATACTACACCAGAGCCACTGAATCAGACTGGCAAGTTTAAGAATCTTCTTGGTTAATTGGATTATTAGCCAGGTGTGAAGCCACAAACTCAAGCAATATGTGATAGTCCACATTATTCTAAGTTGTAACTTTACTTCATTCCTACGTTGTTGTTATGTGCCATCGACTCTGATTCATAGCAACACTATAAGACAGAGTAAAACTGCCTCATAGTCTGTAATCTTTACAGCAGTGGATTGCCAGGTCTTTTCTCCAGTGAAGCTGTGGGTGCAACATATGATTTCCATTTTGCCAAAACTACTAAAAGTTAGTCAAATCTGATGCTTAATTATAGCAAATATACCAGTTCTCATACTTAACATGTATGCTTCTTCCTCCTCTCTATGATACTGATTTTCTGTTTCTATTTTATGACCTCTCTCTTTCTCTCCTTCTCTCTTCTCTCTCTCTCCCTCTTCCCAGGTAGATGTGTGTGTGTGTGTGTGTGTGTGTAATGAAGGAGCCCTGGTGGAGCAGTGTTTAAGCATTGAGCTGCTAACTAAAAGGTCAGAAGTTCAAACCTACCAGTTGCTCCATGGGAGAAAGATGTGGCAATCTGCTTCCGTAAAGATTTACAGCCTTGGAAACCCTATAGAGTAGGGTCTCTGTGAGTTGGAATCAATTAGACAACAATGGATTTGGTTTTCTTTTTAAATATATATCTGAATACAGATACAGAAACATGCAAAACATACATGTGTAAGTTCATTAAAATATACACTTTCAGGAAATTGGTAGAGAGAAAATAATAACCAGTGCATCTTCTAGGAGCCAGTATATGTAAGAAAAAGGCAGAACTCTGAATTCAGTGAGGAAAGGAATGAAAAAATTGTCAACGTACGGAGAGTGACATGGGTTTCCAATCTATGCCATTGATATTAATGTGCCCGGCTTAACCTTAAGGAGGCGGTTCTCATCTTGCTGCAACCTTAAATGTAAGATGTCGTCATCACAGTGATCAACTGGACGCCAGTGACCTCTCTGATTTTATAAGTTCCATTTTACTTTCATTTTTATCATTCAGGCAGAGTACCTCAAATTTTCTGAGACTGAATGGATACTTCAGAGTGGACTTGCTTCTCTGCACTAAAGAAAATAAAGCATCTGTCATGATTTCTGAATCTTTTAAATCTTTAATTCTTCAAAATTATTCTCAGAAAATTATCTCAGTGAGATGGTTCATTGTACAATTAGGCCTTCTTGCTTGATTTATTGAGTACTCTGTGGTTTGACATATTTATACTCTGCCTAATAAGAGGGAAGATGACTCTCTATGGAGCTTCTTGTCAAGTCTAAACCAGTGGTGACTGCTGAAGTTAATCTCTAATGGTTCAGACTGATTCACTGAGGAATTACTTATATCAGGATAAATAATTTTACTTTATTATTAATTTTTACTTTTTGCTTTTAGTAGGTGGTAGTGGTGATTAAATTTCAGAGAAGACATGAACATTTGGCAAAACAGCAAGAAATTTAAGTCATGATCAAGTGGTTGAAAGTCCTTAGGGAAGAGATGTTCCAAAATTTCTTAACAGTGTGCTCTCCTATTTTCTTAATTTTTTTATTGTGATTTGGGTGAAAGTTTTTACAGAACAAATTCATTTTCCATACATCACTTCACATATACTTTGTCTCAAGACATTGACTGCAATTTCCCACAATACAACATCTCTCTTCCCACTTCCTCCCCATAGTTACCTCTTCCCTGTGTCCTTCCCGCCCATGCAGTCCTGCCTCCCAAGCTGTCTCCTTGTGCGTACATAGCCCTACTATTCTCCCATGATTGATCTCTCCAAGGAGTGTATCTACCTAATGTAAATGTTCAGCTCATATGCCTTTCTTTTGTTTTGTTGGAAGCCACAGGGATGCGTCAATTCCAGACCGGAAGGGCAGCTAGGGGCCATAGTCTAAGGGGTTCACCAGGCTCTATCAGACCAGCAAATCTGGTCCCCTTTTCTTTATGATTTTGAGTTATGGTCCACATTGTTCCCACTCTATCCAGGATCTCCTACATAGATCCCCCTCTGATTACTTGACAGTGGTAGCCTGGCACCATCTAGTTCTTCTGGTCTCATAGTCATATAGGCTGAGTATCGCATGGTATACCAGTCCCTTGGATTAATTGTTTCCGTGTGTCTTTGGTTTTCTTCATTCTTTTTTGCTGTGGATGAGGAGAGACCCATCGTTGCATCTAGATGGCTGCTTGCAAGCTTTTAAGATCCCAGTTGCTACTCACCAAAGTGGGACATGGGAGAATGCTGTTGTGTAGTATGTTATGCCAGTTGAAATTGATGTCCCCTGCGAATACAGTCCCAAGCCCACAGGTCCAACTACTCACTCCCTC